ATATATATATATATATTTTTTTTTTTTTTACCAATTATCCAAATAATGTTTAATCCTAGAAAGCTATTATTATCAGAGGACACGTGAGCATAACGGTTAGCAGATCAATGAGTGAGAGAGCAGCGTTACCTGAGTTGCCCATTTACCAAACCTTGTTACAGCACAGTAGGGCTATTGCAGACAGAAACAATACTGTACTACATCGATGTTTCCTGTCGGCTCAATTTTTGAGTGGACTTTGCTGTTCCAATTCGCATGAACGGCATACGAGTGGAGCGACTGAGTGGAGCGCACACACGCATAGAGCGGATAATACGCAGAGCGTCACACCACGTGAAAGTGAAACCTGAGTGGTGAACAAATTTTCGGCAGCCGGAATTTCAGTGCATCTCTAATTATTGGCGACATCAGAAATGGATATTATATAATAGCTGCTTTTTTTGAGCATTTTAGCTATTTAAAAATATTAAAAAAGGATTTTTTACACTGCACCCCGGTTGGGAAACACTGTACTAGTCAAACAGGATTTGACTTAAAATCCTACAAAGATGTCTTTAATTTGTTTTGAATTTATTTAATACATTTGTATGGGAGTTAACCTTGTATAGCTACTGCTAGAAACAGATATTTAACATTTTAGACGACTGAAGCTAAAGCAATGATCCAGGACAGCACTGAACATGAATTTGGGAAAATCACTAGGGCCTTTTGCACCGCGGGAACCTTTTCATAGTACCAGAACTAATTGTGGAACTACCCACTTTTTGCCGTGTTCGCACCGCCGGAACTGGGAGCGATTTTAGTACTGGACTGCCTTTTTCGAGAACCAAATTAGCTCCTACTCCGGAGCAGGGTCTAACCAGCACAACTGGTACTAATCGTGACGCAAGTAGACACTGATTGGCCAAACGCGTATGAAAACTCCCTCACCCGCCATGATTTAAAACGCCGTGTAAACATACTGTAAACATTGTGTCAACTTATTTCGCAAGTATGGAGAACAGCGATAGATGGACGGACGCTGAAGTGCAGGCACTTGTAGCAAATGTAGCACTGCCAGTTGTCGTTGGAGATTCTCAGTCCTCCTCTCCGTTCTTTCAATCGCTTTACGTATACGTCGACTTTCCATGTCCATTATTGTGAAACCCGCAAGACACAACAAAAACACAGCTCCAATCACAGCGTCCTCCATCCTCCTGTTGTTAATGTTGTTTTTCTTTGTTTTCATTGTTGAACGCCGCGCACAAATGACGTCGCTGTCGAACGGTTCCAAGTACACACTGTCGGTGCGAATGCAACCCTTTAAATAGTACTGGGAAATAGTTCGTGCAAAATCATCCCAGTACTTTAGTACTGTCCATTTAGTTCTGGAACTAAAGCGGTGCGAAAGGCCCTACTGTAACATTGCGCTGCATGGATTGTTGCTTTTATAAAATGGTGACACTAACAGTATAAGACACTATTTGTCAATAAATAGGGGAATTTTATCAATTATACACTGAGTTATTCTGCTGCTAGTTAGTTACAGATACATAGCAGTTTCGCACATAAATTGAATTTGCAGTCCAGGTGTGTGTTTATTGGCATTTTGCAGGAGCTTCAAAATGCTTCTTCCAATTAAAATTTCAAGTCAGAAATATCTATTTGGTAATTTTCATTTAAGCCAACGTATACATTGGTATTTATCTAAATATTTAGCATATGTGTACGGGCAGATGCATAGCTTTTCAAAGTAGTCCATTTGATCGCATGTGCAAAATCATATGGTCAATGCGCACAAACTAAAAGTATTTTCTTTGACTAGTGTCTGCGCTTCTTCTCTGTTGTGCATTAGAGTTGTTGAGATCTTTTAACTTCTTTAAACAAACACTCAAAAATGTGAACCTCTATGGTTGCTTCGACCGAAACAGTGGCCTTTGGTTAATCGATTAATCTATCTATTTTTCTGCTACGTCGGTTAATCTTACAATCTTTTTTTCCCCCAACAAATCTAGTGATTATTTTAGTCAATTAATCTTACCATTGAATAATTACCACAACTCTTTCTAAAAAATAATTACCACAACTTTCTAAATTCTTTTTAAAGAATAATTACCACAACTCTTTCTACTCTATCAAAAAGCTCAGGTTTCCCAAAAGTTTCAGTTTGGTTATAGGAAAAAAATAAATAAAGAGAAAACAATTCTGTATGAACACCACTGAAAGCACAGAAATATGGACTGTGGGAATGTCTAGGGCTGACTGTAATTGGAAATGCACTTGCATTATTTATTTGAAACATTTTGCTAACATCGGCTTTGAGCTTAAGGTTAGTGTAAATCTACATTGTTTAGTTTCATAGGTCTATCTGTGTCAGCCTGTGAGATCGCCGATACACGATATTATCGTGCTAATTTATGTAAATTATTTACTTAGTTTCATTGCGGGAAAGTGAACCAACTCCAGCGCAAGGCTAAAAGCAGCCAAATGTTTTTAACATGACTGAATTTGTATTTAACATGATAACAAATTAATAGAAACATCGTAAGTTACTAATTATAATGCTTGCATTTCCTCAGTTATTCAAAAAGCAGCTACAGAAAACGAGCAACGAACATTACATTATCAAAGAACATCATCACGACACAAGCTCAGTCTAGTGCGCATTTATGCACTCAACCCTCTACATTGCGAGTAAATCACTCGCATATGTGACTAAATCTTACTCTGGGCGACTAAATAATGTCTAACATTAGCCATTGTCTAATAATAGTATGTGTGTGAGAGGCGTTCAACACGCTGACTGAGCGCTTGAGAGTTTCGCTCTCCGTCAAGCGATCTGTACTATTTGGATGCGCTGATACATGATCATGTCATGTACTCAATGGATGCGCAGTATGTAGCACGCAGCGCACCTGTATTTGACGTACCGTAAACTAGAGTGAAGGCGCACGACTCGCCGTCACTTTACTGATAGCGCTGTGTTTCTCACACATGCAAAGAGAGAGAGCGAGAGTCTTGCATACCACGCTGAATCGACGCGCTACATGTAAACCATATTCTTTGTTGTATTTTCCTGTCAAAATAACAGAGTTCATTTAGAATTATTCCGCTTTTAAGAACAAGCAGCAGATATGCCGGTTTCTCGGCAGTGGGCGGAGCTGCTGCGCGAACAGCTCTCATTGGCTGGCGCTCATCTATTACCGTCCCTGTTTTGATTTCAGCAAATCAGTTCGAGCGAACGCTGACAACGTGATTAATATTCATGAACCCAGCAGATAGTAGTAGTAGTAGTAGTATCTTTTAATAATAATTTCTATTACCTATGTCCAACAGTATCTTAAACACCACCACCAGTCCTAAGTTCAGTTAAAATGACAAATATGCATTCATTCATGGTTACCAAGTTTTAGTTCTAATCACTATAGTTCTACCATTAAATAGTGCTTAATTATCATAATATCATAATATCTATTTAACCATATTTTGGGGATAAATTTGTACCCAAAAGTGAGCAAAACCTGACAAAATCGGCAAAAACCTCAATTTGTGGATGTCCTCATTTGTAAAACTGTTATAAAAATAAAGTAAACAAAGTTTTTTTTTTTTACTTTTGAAATTGTAAAAATGCAGAAAGTTTTCTGTGAGGGGTAGGGTTAGGGGTGGGTTTAGGTTAAAAAGTGTAAAACTATCTGTATATAAAAACAATAGAAGTCTATGTAATGTCCCAATTTAGATAGCTTAGTAAACGTGTGTGTGTGTATGTAAAATAGTATATCAGTCTGGCGAGTAAACAAAAAAAATTACTAGCCAATGGCGATTATATTGCCAAGGTGTGCGTAGAGGGTTGTTATGTAATCAACGTCTTCTAAAATTTACGTCACACAAAGTTCGAATTTTAGGCCTTGCAAATTCTTTGCAATTTATGGGTTTAAGTGCTGCCTCCAGTGGATGAATGCCTGTAATTGTTGTAATGCCCAACCTGATCAGTCTTACAACACTTGCTGTATTTGCTTTCTGAATGTCTCATGTTTCTACTCTAATTCATCTTTCTCACTGTAAAGAAAAGACATTGCTGGCCCATGATAGAGTTCGGTGAGACTTGCGTGACGCTTGGTCCAAACTGACGTCTCATCTACACATCTCGTCTGTCTCTCAACCGCTGTCCACCACCATGTCACACATACCCGGCAGCTCGGTCCGGGACCACATGAAATGGGTTAGTTCTCTACATGTTTCACACTTTAGGACATGTATGTTATTTTCCTCTATTGGGTTATTAAATTTTGGATTTTCGCTTTAATTCTAGTCCCAAATCCATTAGTGCTGATTACTAGGGATGTAACGATTAACCGCGAGCTGGTTGAATTGGATTAAAATATGTGACGATTCAAAATCGGTTGAGATGCTAAACAAATCGCGATTCATTAAGGGGTAGGAGTTTATATGAATGTATGTCTGAGGGGAACTTACTGTCTTTAGAAAAGGTTAGATAGTATTTTTTCTTTTCCTCTTGCTTCTGTATAATGCATATTAAAGTTCATAAGTGCAGCGCTGCTTTGTTTACAGCGGAAACCAAGGAAATGCTTTAAGCGCCACCTGCTGGCAGAGAGTGCATCTGCATCTCATTCAGCTCGTCTGCTGTTTCGGTTTCTGCAGATATTTTTATGTGTAGTTTCACAAAACTGAAGTCAAACCATTCTGTTTTTGCTTCAAATTTCAAAATGATACAATCTAATTTAGATTAAAAACTGCTCATGTTGCATGTGTGCAGCATCTTTGTTTGGATCATGATTAAAATGCAGTGGTTGCCTCATTTTAAATGGAAAGAGCACAGACAAAGCCTTATTTTGTTTATATGAAGATATTTATTTTATTTGTGTTATTTATTTGATTTGGGATTTGTTTTAAAATTTCAATTTAGTTTTGTTATTTACATTTACATTATATTAAAATTTTGTCATTTAGCAGACGCTTTTATCCAAAGCGACTTACAAATGAGGACAATAGAAGCAATCAAAACCAACAAAAGAGCAGTAATATGCAAGTGTTATATTAGTGTATTAATATAGTGTTATATTTCAATTTCACAAAGAAACGTGCTGCATTTTGTCCAAGCAATAATAAAAGGACACATTTAATTATAATTTGTCTTATATCTCATTTGATTTCACAAATCAAATTGTGAAATCAAAATCGTGAATCGAATCGAATCAAGTTGAGTAAATCGTTACATCCCTTCTGATTACCACATAAAGTTTACACTTCCAGCAACAACAGCTCATTCTTTGTCTTGATATTGTTTTTAAAGGCAGGGCTGTTGGGATGTGAAGCGGTGCTGTCCAGCATGGCTCTGATGCAGGCCAGTTCCATCGCTGCTCCTAAGAAAATGATGTCGCCCTTGGGTCCGGCTTCAGGCCACGGTTCAGCCCAGAGGGATGCACAGGACCGTGGGACGCAAGGACACATGGTCTTACCAATGAGCATGACCTGCCCTCCACTGGTTAGGAGACACCTTCAAGCAATAGATTTCAGAGATGCACTGATCGACCAGGGATCGGAATTAGCCAATTTTACGCATTTCCATTTTGACGTTATACTCGCATCCACGTGTTAATTGGCGTGGAATTTCATTCACTGTGAATGAAGAAGACACAAAGTTCACAATTTGTAATTCGTATAGGGCCACAGTAAACCATGGGGGAACCACAGGGCTCGATTAACGCTCGTCTGGGACAGGTCGATTTTTAAATGGGCAAATGAGAGAGAATTTTACTTGCCTGACCAGACAATTAGCCTGATTAAAACATCAATTAAATAACCAGGGAAGCACTGAAACTTGGCCACCAATAACTTTCGCACTAGAATGATTCTGATTCTAGTTTTAAATTGTCCTGCCAGTTGAGGCTTGAAAAGCCTGTCTGATGTGAGCGAGAGAGACTCATGCAGAAATCATAACAAATGAGTGCAACAGCACACACAGAAAGTTGCATACTCCAGTAAAAAAGTTACTTATAATACCATATTGGCCCGAATATAAGACAACCCTGATTATAAGACGACCCCCCTTTTTCCAGATGTACCTTTTGGAAAAAGGCTTTTTAAAAACCAAGTCTTGTCTTTTCTTAGTAAAACACATTTTGTCTTCAATTATTTTCATATTGCATATTTTTCCTATTTTAATTTTTGTTTTGAAAGTATGGTAAAAACTGGTCAAATGTACCAACAATCACATTTAAAAAATTTACACTTTTTGAAAAAACAGGTAGCCCATCTGAATTAGGACATTTAGGCTATCCATCTAATAGTAGCTTACCAAAATCTAATTAACAGTAGAAGTTAAATCTTACCGTAGTCTTCAAATCTGGGTAGTCTTACGTTTTAAAATCACAAAGGGAGTTTGGTCCCATCAGGCTAACGTGACAGTCACGACGCATGCAGCTGTAAGCTTTTCTTTTTCTTTTATTTTTACTCGCGATCTTTACAACACGCATTACATTACGTATTTCATGGCACACTTGTTTTATGCGTATTTGGCGCCACCTATTGTTGTGGGTGTATTATTGACATGTCAAAGTCTAGAGCCTGAATATAAGAAGACCGCGTTTTTTCAGATGTATTTCCAAGAAAAAAACATCGTCTTATATTTGGGTCAATACGGTATATGATATAGATAAGCAACATTACACAACCAAGATGTTTCCACGAATATTAACACGATTACAACATTGATTTTATACAATAGTAGTTCAATAAACAAGAAGTTCAAATTAACTGACTTACATTTTAGACACAATATTGACTGTTTTTGCTCAATTTCACTGATGAAAATAGTTCCAATCAAAGCCACATCAGTACTGTTGTCTCAGAGCAATGCAGCGGTGTTTCGTTACTGAATGAATACACGTTTTTTTTTTACAAATCGAGTTAGTCAATGATTCGGTGGCCCATTCATAAAGACAGTTACTTGCCTCATTTCTGAATGAATCAGCCTTTTGAAGGAATCGGTTGAATGAATGACTAAATGACTCATTCATTTAAAACAGTCATTTGTCTCCACCTACTGGTGGTTTGGTGTCATATTTAAAAGCATCATAGCATTTTTCACAACATTTCTTATTTGTATGTTCAAAAAACATTAATTTTAAAACATTTATCTTATAAAATTAATGTAAATTAGTGTAAATGTTTTTACGTCACCTCAGCTTCATCAAACAGTCTGTGTAAATATATCTAATGCTTCAAATGCTGAACTGAATCATTTGAAACAATGTACAAATTTGAAGCGAAAGATGACACATTTAATATAGTTAGGGGAAAAAAAATGACCATTTATATACATAGTGGGAAATGACATCTGTTTGGTTATATACAGCAGCTCATTTTCATTTAATTATTTCTACCTCTTTCTAGTCACAGAGCACTTTATTTTGAGAGTTGTTTAATTGAGAGGACATCTGTAACTTTTCACTGGGGGAATTGTAATGTTTAATCATTTCTTTAATTATGTTAATATTTTTTGCATTGGAAAAAAAAAGAATAGATTTTTGTTTGTATATGCTGTCAATTATAGTTCGTAAGAAAGAAAATTGGTATCGGCAGGTCACACTTACAAAAAATAGATTTGTGATTAGTTGCAAATTAGTCATTTTGGTTAAATTGTTTATTTGTGCCATCTGAAAAAACTGATAACTAATTTTCGAGAAACGCCAAAGAGACATCTTTACATATTACAGAACTGCTCTTGTCCTCTTTTATTGTCCTAATTTGTAGGTTGCTTTGGATGAAAGCTTCTGCTAAATGAATAAATGTGAATGAAGTGTAGTGATTCTGATTTGGCAGTGTATAATGCATGATTTTCTGTTTTTAAGCAGTGATTTTGTTTAAAAAGTGTGTAAAATAAGTAACCATTTAAATTCAGTAATGTCGGACATGTCCTACAATGTGACACTCTATATTTCATCTGAAACTAGCATTTTGCTAATTATTTTATCTTTATTTTGTTAATAATTACACGTGGGTCTTTAATAATCTCAAATTGTTTAAAATACTACATTGAATATTGTTCGTTTTTACTCTTCTCGCACAGAAGGGCCATTTAAAATGAACTGTTGAAGGCAAATATCAGGTTAGAAATAGAAAGAAATGCTGATCAGTTATAGCACCCAGATAGGCTATAGGTTCAAAAGCTAAAATGTTGTATCAACTACCCAGTTATTAGTATTGCCTTCTGTTATTAAAAAACTTGACCTCTACATATAAGCCTGTAATTATTGGCTCAGAATAAAAACTTAGATGCATTCATTCACTTTGTTGGTAAAAGATTATTGCAAAAATGTGTTTATTTTATAGTGTTATATTAAAACGCAGAGGTGGTGGTGTAGGTTTACAAACACTTGTGATTTATGTGTTTGTGTGTCTGTAGCTTCTGCGGAAGGAGGCTGATTTTACAGCTCCCCGACTGCTGGATGAGAAGGAAATGAGACCCAATGAAGACATGCAGCTGAAGAAAAAGAACAGGAAGTCGGGAACACCCTCCAAAGTGAGAGAGCAGGACGGGCAAGCAGGGAAGGTCAGTGTGGGGGTGTAATGTGTCACAGCCCTGTGAATGGATTGCCAGTCGGCCACTTATCACGCAAAGTTTGTTTGAATACACTGCTTTCTGTGAGACATTTGAGATTTTCAGTGTTATTTGGTCGTATGAGAGGGTTATATATTTCTTCTGATGTGACATTGCACGCATTTAAACAGGCTGTTCCTGTGTGGTAATGGTGTGTTTGTGTTGTTGTGGGGGAGGAGATGGCTGGTTTTGGTCGGTGGGTGGGGCGGTCTGTAAAGGGAGGGGAACGCTGTAGCACAATAACTGTTATTGTGTTTTCACAGCACCAGTATCTACTGGCTTTGATTTTTGGGAATGAAGCAGATCTGCTTCTTGTGAAGTTTTGGTTCTTTTATGTATGGTATTTATTGTTAGGTTTTTCTGTTGTGTGTGAGTCATGTGTATGCATGGCTTTTTTTGCTATGTGCATTTAACGTAATAGCTCACCCAGAAATTGAAATTGTCACTTTCATGTTATTCAAAACCTGTATGCATTTCTTTATTTAGTGAAACATGAAAGAACATACCATTTTAAAGCCCAGTTCACACCAAGAACGATAAATTTAAAGACAACTATAAAGTTAAAGATATTAGCGTCCACACCAGTTAAGTGGGAGAACTTGCACAATTGGTGGCTGACTAAATACTTTTTTGCCCCACTGTATATCTTTATCGTTATCTTTAGTTATCGTCCTTGGTGTGAACGGGCCTTAAGAGTGTGTGTGTTTCTTATATAATAAAAGTTAATGTGGTCCAGTTTTGTTTTGGATCGCCTCTGGCTTTCATAAAATGTGTTCTTCTTCTCTGTCTGTTCAATAAAGAAAGTTATACAGCATTAGAATGACCTAGACCATTATAATGATACTGTGCATTACTCGGCATTGAGTAATACGCAAAAAAAGACATTCAAAAAGCAATGTTACATAGTTGACATGCAGTGATATTTGCTGCTGCTCTGTGACTTGATTTCTCTTGTGGGTGACTGTCAACTGATTTTTAATTTTCTAACTGGAATACGTGGTTTTGTGATGCGTGCCTATGATGTATTTAAAACTGAAAAATAAGATGTATAATAAACTCTCAGTGATATAGGTTCTTACGGAATAATCATGCAATAGTAGTAGGGATGCAAAAAAAAGTTGCCTTTTTTTAAAAAGGAACATTGTATTAAAAGTTGTTACTTATTTAAAGGGTTGGTTCACCCAAAAATTAAAATTAGCCCATAAATTACTCACCCTCAAGTCATCCTAGGTGTATGTGACTTTCTTCTTTCAGACGAATCCAGTCGGAGTTATATAAAAAATTATCTTTGATCTTTTCAAGTTGTTTCATGCCACTCAGCGGGTGTTGCATGCATCAGTCCAAAATAAAATAAATAAAATAAAAAGCGCCCATCCATAAAAAAAAAGTGTCTCACACGGCTCCGGGGGGTGAACAAAAGCCTCCTGTAGCTAATCGATGTGTTTTTGTAAGAAAAATATCCATATTCAAGACAATCATCCGCCCGGAACAGCTTCCGTTTACAACTGTTGGCGCAAGCTACATTAAAGTGATTATTACGTTTTGAATATGCATATTTTTCTTACAAAAATGCATAGATTTGCTACAGGAGGCCTTTGTTCACCCTCCGGAGCCGTGTGAGACAGTTTTTTTTTTAATGGATGGGGGCTTTTTATTTAACTTCTTTTGGACTGAAGCATGCAACACCTGCTGAGTGCCATGAAACAGCTTGAAAGATCAAAGACCATTTTTAATATAACTCCGACTGGATTCGTCTGAAAGAAGAAAGTCACATACACCTAGGATGACTTGAGGGTGAGTAATTTATGGGCTAATTTTCATTTTTGGGTGAACTAACCCTTTAAGAATGTGAGTGAGTACATTTCAGCCTGTTCCTCACACAAAGCTGTTTTGTAGCTTCAGAAGATCTGGAATATAGTGTATGGATAATTTTTTTAGATAATTCTATGGTTCTTCTGTTTCCTTTTTGAACATTGCAAATTCCAGTCCATTGAAAAGTGCGATCAGTTTGATTAAAATGTCTTCCGTTCATTTTCCTGGTAGGCGGTTGTGGATGAAAATGGAAATTGTCCACTTTCAAAAGTCCAGAAGAACTTTATCTGTGATCACTGCTACGGGGCCTTCAGGAGTGGATACCACCTGAAGAGACACATTCTCATTCATACTGGTATGAATATTACAGCTGTATTGACTCTTGTAAAGAGGTGTACATACAGTATATGCTATTAATATACTATACAGCACGTTAATATATGTGCTAAAATTCTATACGGTACAAAAATGATCCACTTTTTATTCACACATATTTATCATGTTAGATTGGGATGATATGTTGGTGTGTTTCACTGTTTTTCACTCAAATGTCTGCCTTTATCACAGGAGAAAAGCCGTTTGCTTGTGCCGTGTGTGACATGAGATTTATTCAGCGCTACCACTTGGAGCGACACAGCCTCACTCACACTGGTACGACTTGTTCCTGTGCATTTAGATTTTAAATAGTAAATGGTACCGTCACTTTTGTCATTTGATAAATGTAAATAATTAGAGATGCACCGATCGATCGGCCAGGGATCGGAATCGGACGAATTTTCCTCATGATCGGCCCGGATCAGTGATCGGTCGGTCAGTCTCACTTTTTTCCGATTTCGAGCCGATCTGTTTTGTTACCAGCGGCACAGGCAATAACGTCAGCCGCGCATTCTCACTCTCTTCTCTCCGACCACCCCTTCTCTCTCACACACGTCTCATTCGCTCCGGTTAAATAGTACTTGTATTACGCGCTTATATCAAAAGCGCACGCACCACCACTGATCTATATTAGTCTCAAACAGCTTGTGAGCTACAAATACCAAAATGAGTGGCTAACTGCGCTAAAACGTTCAAATACATAGTATCCAGTTAAACACAGTCAGTTTTGGAACGTTAAATAGTTGAGAAAGAGAACGCATGTTGTGTAACAGTATATTGGGTCTGGAGATAAACTCTTAAAGGGACCGCAGTCCAATATTCCTGCTGCTGTCATGTTAATCAAAGAACAAAAGAAAGACAAAAAAAAAATGTTCTGCTCTTGACTGAATACGTTTTATAACTTTAATGGTAAGCATTAATCTGTATTTAATTTTTACAATGAAGACTACAGAAATTAAAGTAATCAAATTTTATTTTTTTCATTTCTGTAGTATTTCTTACCTGAATAAAAACTTACTTAACCTGAAAAACTTAGTTTCATAGCTCTCTTTATTCTATTGCATTTATTTGTGCTGTTGTTTGCTATTTTTTTATTTGTTCTTATTTTATTACTGACTT